AATACTGCACAGCTCAATGAACAAGGACCTTGTAGGTCATGTACCCGAAAGATACTTGTCTGCAAATCCAGTCACAGGAGCCTCACTTTGTGACCTTGGAAGTTTCTTAACTTCTCAGTCACTGTTTCCTCTCTGAATTGTTAAGTGGTGGAAGTTACTTCCAGGCCTGCTCGAAAGATGGGGGAACTAACAAATGCAAAATGCCCTTCAGTTCGTTGACCTCTGATTTAAAGAGAGTTTAAATCTTTAAGAAAATCTTTTAAAGAGATATTGCAGTACCTATATATGTGAAACCCTCAGTAAAATGTTTCTATTTTATGAGGATTTAGAAAGATTCTCTTCTTTTTCATCCTCCAACTCATCTTTTCCTGCTTCTCCCAACTTCAAGAGTAGTCTTAGGGAGAAGAAAGCACAGAAGGACAAACTGAAGCTGAAATTTGAAAAGAGGCTGATTCAAATTTGGCTTAATAATGAGATATTAGTATTTTGAAGAGATTTTATTTTATGACTCTTGCTAATAGCACCATCTCTTTCTCTTCATTCTCATAGTTTGCCTGAGTCACCACCTGATATAAGAACTCCTTACTAGGATGCTTGAAGGAATTTGGGTCCTTTGAAACCCATCAGATAAGAGAAAGACTCAGAAATAAAATATAGATGTGACTTTAGTATCATCAAAGGAAAGGCAAAAATCAAAGAAACGACCTGTATTTTTCCACTAAATAATTTGATCTTTCTTAACCAAATGCTTTTTTTTTTTCTAGAAATGGAACCAAAATGTATCTCCATAAATATTTTGGCCATCCTGAGAAATTATTTAATGTTTTAATGATATCATAAGATTTACAACTGTGTTGCTAGTTTCCAGGAACCATAATTTTTATAATATACTCTTCAACTTTAGAGTAATGTAAAAAAATCAAGTGAGAAATTCTCCTTACCTTCTTCTTCATGATTAGGGTAGCTGAAAATTGCATGACACAATTTTTCTGTTTGTTCCTTATCAGTGTAAAATTAGTGCAGGCGTTGTTGTTGGATGAAAGGCTGGATCTCTCCAACTATTCCAGTTTTGTTTTGGTTAACTTGCTGATTTAAATAAATATTAACACTAGTATAATGATATATATATAAGTGAATCACTTTGGTGTACACTTGAAACTAACATAACACTGTAGATTAACTATACTTCAAAAAAAGAAAGAATAACAGCTATCTGACTGCTTCCCATTGATAAATATAACCAAAGTATAGCCAACATGAATCTGTTCTCAGAGAGAGAGTCTTGTTGCAGTGCAGAAGCCCTATGAATATGGGTTGGTGTAGCAATAGGGGCAAATTGAAGGACCTCTAAGTTCATTCAGTCCTTGAGATTTAATTTCCACTGCAGAACTGTGAGGAGCAGAGAGAGGTGTGCTTCTGCTGATTATCAAGCTAAAAGTGGAATTGGGGTTTTCACCAAACCAATCGCATCTTATTTTCTTCGCCCATGATGAAAGAAGTGGCCATAATCTTTCATGCATTAGGTTCTGGAAAGTGAGTCAAAGACATGCCAAGGATATGATCCTTTAAAATTTACTTAGGTTAATTGCACTTCTCTAAGGAAATGGCAACCCACTCCAGTATTCTTGCCTGGAAAATCCCATGGACTGAGGATCCTGGTAGGCTACAGTCCATGGGGTCGCAAAGAGTTGGACACAACTGAGTGACGTCACTTTCATCTTTGTTAGGGGGGGCTTCCCATGTGGCGCTAGTGATAAAGAATCTGCCTGCCAATACGGGAGACACAAGAGATTTAGGTTCGATCCCTGGGTCGGGAAGATTCCCTGGAGAGGGCACAGCAACCCACTCCAGTATTCTTGCCTGGGGAATCCCATGAACAGAGGAGCCTGGGGAGCTGCAGTCCATAAGGTCACAGAGTCAGAAATGACTGAAGTGACTCAGCACACATGCACCTTTGCTAGGGGGAGAAATAGTTTTGTTCTAAAGCAAAAGATGAACATTACCAATCTCTTCTGGTTTTTGCCTCTCTTGATTCAGAGGACTAATTCATATTGATTTCCTTATCTTGCCTCTTTAAATTGACTGAATTTTCCTTTAATAATCAAGTTTCCTATTAATAGCTGTACTGAGCAAGAGGAGTAAAATCAATATGTGATTTAATGGCTCTTCCTGTCAGGGGCACTATTGATTGTATTACTAATGATTTTGAAATGATATACCATTATGCAAGTCCCATCTATTTTAGGTGGCTTTGCCAGGCACCCACAGAAGTACTGTTTTCTTTTCCCTCATAGCTGATCTTCTTTCCAGTGTCACAGTTATCAAGTACCAAAACATTTTCTAAGGATTATAATCCCAGTGACTAGTAATACTCTATTGACAAATTTTAAGTGTTTATTATACAAAGGAATGGGGTGAGACCTTATGTTTTTCACATTGATCAGCTACTCAGAATGTAGAAAATAAACCTATCACAGCAATGAAAGTGAAAAGTGAAAGTGAAGTCGCTCAGTCGTGTCCGACTCTTTGCGACTCCATGGACTGTAGCCTACCAGGATCCTCAGTCCATGGGATTTCCCAGGCAAGAATACTGGAGTGGGTTGCCATTTCCTTCTCCAGGGTATCTTCCCGACCTAGGGATAGTTGATTAAATTCACCAAGGATCACTTGGTGAATCCTTACTTGGGTTTTTCTGTTTATTTGTGAATAAGTGGTCATGTTGCCCTTTGGGGATGAAACTGGGAGCCCCTCCTAAACAAATGCTTACCTTAATAGAAATACCACTCCAAGCATCTCCGCTATGCTTTATTTCTATAATAATGCATGAGATCTGGGATGGGTTGGGAGTACAGATGGAAAAAGACAAGTCAAATGTTTTTATGTAATATAAGCAAGAGCATTGCAACATGCACTCTACCATGAAGTGTCTTGATTAGGGGCCGTTAGGTCCAGAAGACAGTAGTAGGACCCTTCTAATTGCCACCAGCATTTTCTCACACACGATCATATGATGCTGATGGCTTTAGCAGTGATGTACAAGTATAGTTTATGATTACAAGGCAGTAAGATGGAAATTAATACCTAAAATGCATAATTTGGATGACAAATAAGGTAGATGTTTGGCAGGTTTTTTGAAGAATAAATTTGATCTCACTTACCAGATTTATTTTAAAATTTAAATCACATGTATCATCAATTCCTATATCTTCTTGTGCTTTCTCTAATATTTTGTATTTTTTTGGATATTGAGGAATGATCAGATACCATGGTGTAGTCAGAGCAGGCTGGTTATAGATATATAGTAATTTGGTGAACTCCAGAACATAGTTCTGGAAGTTAGAAATTATCCACTGTATGTATACATATATGTGTGTGTGTATATATATATATATGTGTGTGTGTGTGTGTGTGTGTGTGTATATATATATACACATGACTGGATTTTTGTCAGACTGTTGGTAGTTTTACAAATACCTAACTGCTCTTTAAAAATGATATTGCTTTAGTCATTGACAGCTGTTCACCCAGCCTTACTATTTCAGTCTTTGAAGACAAAGCTGAGATTGGAAGGCACTATCATGTGTTCCAGTTCCTTAGCAGTGAGCCATTGGGATGTGAGTGTTATGGGGGATGTTCTTTAGGTGAGGAGCAAGGAGGAGGTTATGAGGCTCTTTAGAACCAGAAGCAGTCATTTGTTCTCACTTAGCATTAGAGGCTGGGAAATTCAGAGAATTAAAAGCAAGTTCTACCTTTATTCTCCTTCATATGAGAAAAGAAATCTGGTGCTCTTTGGCATGTGTAGGTCTAAACGAAACTTGAGAGCTTTGGTCAATAAAAAAAAAACAAAAAGAGAGATCTTTATAGAAAACCTGGAAAGTTCCACCAAAACTAAATAATGTGCATGACATTAAAACTGTATGTCTTTGAAAACTCATCATTTTTAAACCTTTATTCAGAAATATTCTTGGCCAATGTTACTGAACAAAAGATATTTTCAAGAACAAACACGTGTTTGTGGGCTCTGAGTAAGTTGTAATACATGAAGTGATTAAACCCTTATTAATTAAAAGGTAACACTAGATTTCTTTTCAGAGTCATCAAGGCTTAGGGGAGGTTTAGATTTGCATAATATTTGCATTTGTCATACCTGCCTGTCGCGATCACAACCATAAGACAACAAGGCAAAAAGTGCCAAAGGATCAATTACAGGAAGAATTCTTAATGAAATGTCTCGATGTATCCATGGAGTTTGCAAGAAGGGTAAAGAGTGTATTTTGTCTAAGTTGAAACTCAACTGTGGGAGGGAAGAAAATAGAACATCACTCCCCACCCCCACTTTAAGAGGCTTTCATCTTTAGAGAGACAAAGCACAACTTCCCCTTGTGATCTAGGTGGAAAATCTGACTCACTTGAAAATGAGTTTGACTGTAGGACATTGGGTGGGGTAAGATATTTTATTTTGTGATCCTTTTATATATATATTTTAATAAAATTTTATGATAAAAATATTATGTTTGGAAATACAGTAAAGCAAAATGAAAGTCCCACAAAAATGATCCTCATGCCTGTTATGAAGTGAGGTAGCCTCTGTTCATATTTTGATGTGGTTTGCTGATTTGTATCACAGGAGTGAATTCCAGAGCATAGCTCAGACAGTCCTATGGTTAAGGTATTTACTTATAAATATATTTTTCTTTTCTTATTGTGATCTGTGTTTTTCTGCTTCCCACAATGACGATAAACCTAGTAGTACGAGAGCTGTATTTTGACTAAAATAATTCTGTGGCCCTGGGCAGGGGCGCTGTGCATTGGGTGATCTCTCTGGGCTCTCAGACCCATCCCACACCCATTCTGGAAGGACAGTCTCACAGTCCAGAAGTTTCTCAGTTGGTGTTTGTCTGGAAGTGCTGCTCGTTAACCTTGCTTTCCTCTTCTCTATGTTCCTTCTCTTCTCTTTCCTCTTCCCCTTGTTCGTCAATTTCTATTCTTCTCTGTTTCAGCAAAACAATATCAGTCAAGGTAATTGATGATGAGGAGTATGAGAAAAACAAGACCTTCTTCCTTGAGATTGGAGAGCCCCGCCTGGTGGAGATGAGTGAGAAGAAAGGTGGGGGAGCTGCTCCAGGGCTGAGCCCAACAGCTTCTGCTGGCCTGTGCCACCCCCGGATGCCTGCACTCTTCAGAACGTGACTTACAATGCACACATCCCTCCACCTATGTAACAGGGCATAGATCTCCTTGGGGCCACAGGAGGCCTGGCCTGGGGCCCCATCAACCAGTGTGGGCCACTATGCATATTGCAGTTTGAGCATCGGCAGTGCAGTCAAGCTTCCATTGCTGGGAATGTTGGTGCTGATGCTGGCTACACCCCCATAAAGCCAACTGTCTGATTTCTTTTCTTAATTCGGGGTACCTCCTGGCTGCTAAATGGAAGCAGAAGGATTTGTATCAGTGATGGATTGGCAGAGAATATCAGTGGGGGCCAGCTTAGAGCCCCTGGATGCCCTTTTACATACTCCCGGAGGCCCATGTGTGGCCAGCTCTCCTTCCATAACATCACAGTAACATGCTGCTTGGTGAACGCCTAGCATGAGCGTGTGACTCCAACCATTTGTTTTGCCTTTGTCTTGTGTTCCCACAGGAAGATCATTACCATTAGAATATTTGACCGTGAGGAATATGAGAAAGAGTGCAGTTTCTCCCTTGTGCTTGAGGAACCAAAATGGATAAGAAGAGGAATGAAAGGTGTGAGAGTATACAAAGACATACCAGCGAGAAATTGTACTCTTCTCTCCGTGTCTCCTACTCTCACACTTAACTCTCTCCTCTTCCTCGGCTTCCAAGTACTATACTTCCTCTCCTTTGAAGCTTTAGCAACTTCATTTCCCTTCCCTATTTCACAGTGCACCAAGAAATGCCCCCTTTCTTCAGGAAATGCCAGTTCACCTTAATTGATACCAGATTTCAGAAACAATGGAAGAGAGTTCTGTAATTCAGAAAGGATGACATAAAAGAAGAATTTCTGGGTTTAGTTTTTCACTACTCAGGAATCATTCAAAAATGTGGTTCCAGCTATTAAGCATCCCCTAACATGGTAGCAATGGACACTACTGCATACATATTAGTCATGGTAGTTGTGTCTCATGGTAAAGAATAGGAAATTTCAGAAGAATTCAATAATTAGTCTTTCTTAGAGAAACCAGTTTTCAAAAAAAAAAAAACAGAACAAAGATCTTTAAAGAGTAGCATTCATTTTTGCATAGTATTATTCATATCATCAGATATGAGATTTAAAAGGTATAAAACCTATAGGCATATGAATTTTCTTTAGTAGAAAAGACATAATGATAGTTCATTAAGAACTTAACCATTAATTAAGGCTGATTCTGTCTTATGCTTCAAACTTTTTCAATTCTTATTGAACTGACACATTTCTAACAAAGAAATTTTTTCTAAAAATAAAAAATAGCACAAAATTTAAAATTTTTTAAATTTTGGTTAAAAACAAAATTTTAAAGCTGAATTTTATATCGGCTTTAAAATGGGTTTTTTTTTAAAATTTTGAATTATTCTAAAGGCTTCCCATAATTACCCTCTACTAGTGGACATTTTAAAAAGAATGGTAAATTATATCTATAAAATGAACATAGTACATATTGATTACATTCAAACAATTGATGAGAGCAGTTTAAATGGTTAAATGACCACTTTGCAAGAAATATATACTTTTACATGTAAAGGAAAGCCAAATAGAAAAGACTAATTCCTATATAGACCCAACATTCAGGGGAATTTAACTAATCGTGCTTTTATTAGAACATTCTGGCCTCTGAGTCCATCAGAAAAACAAAGTTGTCCTGACTTAATCTAGTTCAAAAAGATAACAGGAGCCTTTGGAATGATGGAGGAGGAACACTGGGGACCCATTTTAATGCAGCTTATTTAATATGCACCATAGACAGCAGGTGGAAGAAAAAGACACTTTAGAAAATTGTGCTGATTTCTTACAAAGATGGGATCAAAAATGCCTTATTAACATACAGGAAAAAGCACTTACTTCTAATTGTATTCCTCCAAAGAATTGCCTTTTATCTCAAGGAAGAGCATCTTGGATACACAGCTCTTTCAATTGTCATTTTAGTAAAATATGCCTTCATATAAAAGCAAATTAAAATTCCTTGATAGTACTATCTGCTTTTGACACCCACCAAGTGGATCTGTGTCATCATAAATAAAATAACTGACTTGTTTTTGAAAGTTTCTTCTAATGCCACTACCATTAGAAAACTGGTCCTGAAGAAGTAATTGTAACATTCTCATCTGTAACTGTGGAAGTAATTTATTTGATACATTTAGGCAAGTAGATTTCACCAAAATAAAGTGCTACAGTTACAGTCTGAGTTTAAAGCACATAGCCTATATGTCCCCTCCCCCCACTACAAGCCTTCCCCTGCTGACTTGTCAGTTTCCGTGAAATTATGTGTCCACAAGAAGCGATGTGGCTGTCCAATTAGAATGTGCAGAAGTCATAGATAAGGACACACAAATAAGCACTAATTCCTGGGACTTAAGTTTTGAGGATTTAAAAGAACCTAAGCATTCCTTGATGATCAATATATCAGCATATAGAACCTTCAGTGAGAAAACTTCACCTTGGGTCAAAACCTCATTATCAGGAGGGATGGCCAAAATGAAATGTCCTAAGATGTTTTCTCCATTTTCATTGAAAGGTACATGAAAGGTACAATCCCTGAGATCCTGGATGATTTCAGACTTCTGTCTGTTGAATTCACTAACTCCCAGGCAATTATTTCATGAGGAAAACTCACTCAAAGATTTAAGATTAACTTCATAAAATATTTCTGGTATATTTGACAAACTAGATATATACACTGTGTGTAAACATATAGCGGACATGTTTTCTTAAATGTCAAGAAATGATATATAAAGTGAATTGTTTATATATATAATCAGTCACACCCATTTGCAGAAATTAGGGATTTTTTTTGGAAATACTCCCAATGCCACATTTACTTGGCATGCACCATTTTAGTAGCAGCTCCCTACCACTATAATCAGATCTGCCTGGATTTCTTTCTGCTGATATTCCTCTTACTTTCATTATTCATCTGGTCTCTTATTCTGTGTTTGTCTTTGTCTGTTTCCTTCACAGCCCTGTTATTGAATGAGCTTGGTAAGCATTTCATTTCTTGCATTTCCTTTCCATTTTTCTAGGTTATTTTTCTTTTCTGTAAGGTGCCACAGTAGCTTTCTGACTTGTCTTTTATTTCTATTGATTTATTAAGAAGATTGTTGTTTAGAGCGATTGGCCTCATAATTTTGTGGAAGTCAGATAGTTTACATTCCACTTTGAGTTTAGTATTACCTTTTTTAAAAAAATCAGTGATTTTTTTAGGCATGCACAAGAATTAAATTTGTGCACTAAACATCATAACCTTAAAATAATGATTAATGATTAAGTCATGAATTGATGTTTCCATACCTTTCTTAATTATAAATACAATTTGGCAAGTTTTTGTACCTTGGATGGGTTGTCAGGTGGTCTGATGTCACTGGTATTTGTTATTTAGAGTGAAAATGAAATAAATGGTAACATTTATTTTTTTTTCTTTTTTAGGTGGCTTCACAATAACAGGTATGAAATTTTTAAGTCTAATGAACCAAATTTTATTTTTTACTATCTGTTCTCACCATGTGTTATTTACATTTTAAAAAATTATTTCCCATTTTTATTTCCTTTTAATAAAGGGAAATACCTGTATGGTAAGACAATTTTTTAAAATGTTCTTCATTTTCTCCCAGTTAACCCTTAAATATCAAGTAAGAACCACATCTTACTTACCCTGAATTAACTTTTAGCTGTGGTACACGGTTTGCTCTTGCTGATTTTACACATTTAATGTTTTACACATTAACAATATGTGTGTTGTGTTTATTTATGAGCAGATTTGTATGGAGAACCTATAACTGGTCGTGTTTTGACACTGATCAATTTACAGAGGTTCACATAGTGCTGATAATGTTAGGGAACTCTGCTAGATGCTCCAGAGAGTACCAGAATAAATACAATGATTGCTAGTTTCAAGGAAGCATAGGAGTTGACATCCAAACCAACTCCCTGGCCCAAGCTCAGGATTCTAATCATACATAATGTCCTATTGGGAGAAGACAAAGCATGCTTTCTCTCTGCCCACCACACCCATCTGAGAAGGCTGAGCATTCTTAACATGGTAATGAATAATATGTCTGCCACTTGAAGTGTATGACAAGTGTTCTGTAAAAACTCAAAATGCTAGTTAAAAAATTTAAAACTCTTAAATTCAGAATGGTACCCAGCCACTGTTGATTGCATTTTTAAGCACAACTTTAGAGCTATTTCCTTATGTATAGAAGGGAGATATTTCCTTACAGCATCCTCTCTTTTGACCTTAAATATTTTTGCACACTTTCAAAATCATCCATGTAGATTTAGAGAGGGAAGTAAATATCCTAGTTTGTCTGAAGCTGCAGGTTGAAGCTTTCTCTAAAGGCTGTCCTAATGGTTGTGGCATTTTCCAATACAGTTATGTAGATATCAATAGTCTATTTTTTTCTGAAACAAGATAGCTGAACAAAAATATTTAGAAAAGAAACATTTCAAAAATTCTATTTGAAAATGTTATGGTGGGGGTTGGGGTTAACTTAAACCACCGTCAGTGTAAACTCATGATCAGGAAGTTTCGACATGATTCTGTTAAAGTGGAACTTTCTGGATGCATTCAGTTTTACATGGGCTATTGCTCTCCACTGCTTTCTCTCCAGACACAGTGTTAAACGACAAAATAATTCATAGGCTCTTGGAGACATAGAATTTGAAAAGGATAAAAACGTTCAACAGGGCAAGTGCTCATAGAGAATTTCTTAAACCTGATTACCTGACTTTCTCCTAGGTCAAGTCTTCCAGTTCTGCACTGCCAATGATGCTAGTTTTGAATCTGAAGATAGGAATGTACATTTACTTTTAAAACTTGAATCTTTTCTTTTTTATCTTATCATTTACTGAAGTCTTTTTGGAAATATTCTGATTCAACCACCCAAAGTCCGTGT